GCTGCAGTGGCTGGAAGATAAAGCTGAGCTGTATACCATTTTCTGCATACAGTACTTGTCACTTAATATATCTAGGTTGGGAGTGTCCAGCCTGTGGTTTGGGAGTCACTTCTGATCCTTGAGATGCTAAATTGTGGTTCTCCAGGGCAGTTCTATTCAGAAGAAAATATCTATTTGATTATTAATTGAATATGTCCTGTGCTGCAGTGGCTGGAAGATAAAGCTGAGCTGTATACCATTTTCTGCATACAGTACTTGTCACTTAATATATCTAGGTTGGGAGTGTCCAGCCTGTGGTTTGGGAGTCACTTCTGATCCTTGAGATGCTAAATTGTGGTTCTCCAGGGCAGTTCTATTCAGAAGAAAATATCTATTTGATTATTAATTGAATATGTCCTGTGATTTTTAAAGTGAAGTATTTTAATCAACCTTCTCACTGTTGGAGGTATGCCTACACTGCAGCTAAAAATTCATGATTCACCCATGCCAGCTGATTCAAGCATGAAGTACTTGGGTTAAGAGACTAATTGCAGTTTAGATGTTTGGACTCAGACTGTCACCCATGCCCTGGGACCCTCCCACCTCATGCTGAAAAGCTGGGATACCATCTTATTCACCACCTCATCCATTCACCTTTTAATGGATATGTAGAGACTTTGGTGTTCCAACAATTAGCAAGTGTGGCATCAATTTATATTCTTTTCTTAGTCTCTGCTATAGTGAGAGAAAGGGAATGTAATTTGTGCAACTGGTCATTCTCCCAGCAAGGGGGCCTCCAGTATAGACCTGGAGTATTAAGCTCCTGTGCGACCTTAATCTCCATGCATAGGGTGTGAGGGAGTCTTACCTGGATTGTGCTACACTCTCCCTTAGATGAACCTTTGGGAACCCCATTGCCTCCTATCACAGTTTAGAGTAGCCCCTAGAATTGCTCTAAACTGGATTGAGGTTGATCAGAAAATTAAGAAGTAGTTATTGGCTTTGATGGCCATCCCTCTGTCCCTGTTCTATGCTGAGCTGATCATAGCCACAGCAGAGAATCTGTCTCAAGATATTTAAAGGAGAGAGAATGCTCAAAGCTATACTATTTTGCGCTCCTGCTCTAAAACTTATGCTTAGACTAATAGAAAGAAGTGTAGTTATTGAATTTATGAAAGGGCTTGGCTATTTCTCACTGACATTTTTCAACAGAAACTGTGAATTCTTCAAGATATTTTCTTATGGGTGATGGATGTGCCACTGTTGGATATGTGTTGGCCCATGTGCTCTTGATCAGATTTTGATTAGCAGTATCTGCAGGTCTGTACCTGTTCATTATACAACCTTATGCTCCGGTGCCAGAGCATGTAAGGAGAGGTGAAGCCACTGCCATTTCAGTTCTTTCTCAACTGCCTTTTGGTTCTGGATGGAAGGACTATTGCTTCTTTGAAGTTTTAGGGTTTTTCTACCTTTAATTATTATTAGTTTTCACTTCATTTTATTTATTTCAGCTTAAGTATGTGTTTTGTGGGGTTTGCTCTCTTCATCCTCCCCTGATTTCTTTTCAGTCGGGGCAGGTTTTTTTCCCTCTTGGCCTCTGTTTACTCTTGTGTTTCCTGCTATGTGACGCTAAAGATCCCAGGTTTTCAGACCAGCTGTTGATTTCTCACAAGTGACTATCCAGAGCACTGCCTCTCCAAGTGGTCCACAAAACCACTTTAAGAAACTTAAGTGTCCACTCCAGTTTGTTTACATACCGGCCCTGTGGCCACGGAGCCTTGCTGCTCCCATTGGCTCCATTTTGCCATTTGCACCAGTAAGTAAACAAGCCAGAGCATCCAGTTAACACGTTCTCACAGAGGTTTCGCTGTCCACTTTGAGAAACATTGATCAAGAGTAGGTGTGGGCAATAAGCAGCCCATGGGCTAGATGCAGTTTGCCAGGGTTAGCCCCTGGTGAACTTCCAGATGTTTTATTTCCCTGATCATCTGTGGGTATGGCCTCTCACAGGTCTGGTTGGCTGCAGTTTGCCATTTCCAGCCAATGGTAGCTGTGGAAAGCAGTGGCAGATGTCTGAAACATCAAGGTCTAAATAATTCATGTTGGGCAATAAGCAGCCCATGGGCTAGATGCAGTTTGCCAGGGTTAGCCCCTGGTGAACTTCCAGATGTTTTATTTCCCTGATCATCTGTGGGTATGGCCTCTCACAGGTCTGGTTGGCTGCAGTTTGCCATTTCCAGCCAATGGTAGCTGTGGAAAGCAGTGGCAGATGTCTGAAACATCAAGGTCTAAATAATTCATGTAAAAAGTACAAATGGCACGTGCCTCGTTACCATTGAAAATCAATAGAAGTTAGGCACAAAACTGCCATTTGTTCCTTTTGCTACTAAACATTGTGGATGAGATTTTCAGTCTCTTGAGACTCATATATGAAGTTGGGGATAACTTCTGTGTATGTTAAAATACTTGCCTGCAGATATTATAGGATTACTACAGGTTGAACCTCCCAAGTCTGGGACTCCCTGGTTCGGCAATATCTGTGGTCCGGCAGGGAGATGGATGTTTCTGGACCAGAGTCCAGGAGGCGGAGAGTGGGAGCCAGCCTGGAGAACGCAGAGCTGGGCTCTGGCAGTGGCTGGACTAGGTGTTGGCTGGGGAGCCCCAGCCCAGCTGGAGAATTCCTGGCATCAGCATGACCAGGCAACAAACAGGAAGCCCCCACCCCAGCCAGGGAACCCCTGGTGTCAGCGGAACCAGGCAGCAAATGGGAAGTCCGTGCCCCACCTTGGGAATCCTTTGCAGCAGCAAGGCCAGGCAGTGGCCAGGAAGCCCCAGTGGGGCCCCGGAAGGAGCAGGACTGGCCCCAGCAGTATGGCTAGTGGCAATCCGATGGTCCCAGATGGGGAACCCTAGGAAACCCCCAGTGGGCTGGGCTGCCTTGGCTGGGAAACTCCCTGGCGTCAACAGAGCCAGGCAGCCAGGGAGCCCCAGCCAGGAAACCCCTGGAATCCCCGGAGTCAATGGGACTGAAGTAGCCAGGTGTCCCCAGCCAGGGAACCTCCAGCAACAGTAGAGCTGGGCAGCAGCAGGTCAGCCTTGGCCGGGGAGCTTCAAGGAATACCCAGAGGCAGTGGGATGTTGTAGTCCAAGCAGGGCTAGTGGCATTCGTGTGGAGAACTCTTGGCAGCAGCGAGTGGGAGCCCCAGCCTGGGTAATCTGGGAATGGGGCAGCCAGCAGGGACATTGACCTCCCTGGTCCTGCAAACTCCCTGGTTCGATGCTGCTCAGGTCCCAACGGTGCTGGACCAGGGATGTCCAACCTGTATAATTATTTTCTGTTTTGAAAATATTAGAGAACAGGAATTGCTGTTGATAAATGATACAGAGATTCCCATTAAAAGCTATTTGAGGAGAATTACACATCTGTTGTTGAAAACATGCATGTTCTTTGAGTGATGGCCCCGTGAGTGTGCCACTGTTGGTGACGAGTCACCCAGATCTGAAAATTGGAGCATTACAAAGCAGTTCTATTTCTCTTGCCTGTCTTGCTGTGCATGTGCTGGAGGGAGTTGTAGTGTGGGTGGCTCCAGAGCCAGCACAAGCCAGGACTGCTCAGTCCCGGCTCTAGTCAGCTCCTGGAGCTACCCTCTGCTGCAGCTCTGCAGAGCGGTGCTTATCAACTAATCATATAGTCGATACAAATTGTATCAACTATATGATTAGCCAGATAATCACATTTTAACTTCCTTACTGTTCTTCTATGACCTTTAGCCTTCTGTAGCAAGTCAGCCAGTAAATCCTTCTTGGTGCTCTTGCTTTCAGCCTTTTCCCAGGAACCATCTACAGCTCCCACCTAAGACACCACAGTCCTTTGATCTCTGACAGCTTTCACGTGTCTTTGACTCCCTGGCAGCTGTTACTTGCCCTTTTCCTTGGTGAGTTTGTGCTGTAAGAAAAGCCTTTCTCATCTGGACTCTTCCTTACTCAGTCTTCCTAATTCTGTATAGTTCCAGGTGTTGCTTTTCCCTTTTAATACACCAAAAGGGAGCACCTGTTCTTGCACAGGAGAGCTGGATCTGCTTGATTGACAGGGTCCATCCACAGCGTGATGAGGGTTCTACTAAATAGTCACATTGCTCACTACCTAATTTTTTATTTAACTGTCAAACATTCTTTTGTGTCTGTCCCATCAAATACTTTTTTCTTTTGTCATTAAAATTGATTGTATATGGTATTTTTCTTTCAAATGCAAATCGGTTGAATCGACAAAATATGACAGATCGGCTGCTTACATATGTATTCGTTCATTTGCGCTGTTCAAGTTATCAGAATACTTATGAATGCAGTGCATAACATTTTAAGATTTGTACGTTTCTGCAGAGTCTGTGAGTTCTAGTTTATGAAATAGCCAAAATTCTGTCATCTGGACTGTGCATTTCAATGTAATTTACAAATAGTTTTTATGGTTTTGGTTTTGTTTTTTTAGGTTGTGGAAAATGTCCTAAAAGTAAACCCAACATTGGGTCCTCAAATGTTTCAACCCCTCTTGCCATCTGTGTTCAGAGGGATTATAGATGGAGAGGTAAGAATTATTTTCTTGAAACTACTCAAGTTTTTCATGTAATGTATTTGCTTTCAACTTATTTCCCATACAATTTTAACTAGATATTAGTATTAAATAAGTAATGGATTTAATTTAAAAAACAGCTACAGGAAAATGAAATCTTGTGACTGGAATATTTCATGTGATTTCACAGGGCTATTTCTTATTTTTCCAAATGAACACATACATCACTATAATTTTCACCTCTACCCTTACACATTCAGTGTTACAAATTCAGATATTCTATTTGGAGTAGGTTTTATTATATTGTATGAAGTATTTATTAATATCATAAAAGAAATTGAAGAAAATCATTTAGACATCAAATACATGTCTCTGGGAGTCAGCATAATGAGGAAAAGAAATATTAAATGTCATTACAGATACTAAATTCATTTTACCCTTGATATTAAAAGTTCTACTCTCTTCTTTCTAAAATACAGGAAAATTTTAGGAAAGTTCTTAAGAAATTTGTGTATCATTAATAGAGTCTTCTTATAATGACTAATCATTTCTGCTGCTCTATACTGATAATGCTCTTGGCAAGTCTCAAGAGAGTTCAGCCAAGTCATAGTGTGGACCTAAGCATGGGGTACTCTATTTCAAAACTAGTTCAAAGCTAATGTTTTTTACCACCTCTCCTCCCTCCCCCCAGCAGTCTGCACTTTCCCAACAGTCCAGATATTTTAAAAAAACAAAATATATTGCTACATAAATATGTTTAAATCTCAAAATTTAAAAGTGAGACAAAATTTAAACTTGATTCACCTCTGAGATCTCATTCAGAGCTATAAAAGAAGACAGAAATGTCTTACATGCAGGCAGTCTGTGATGCTTGTGCAGGGCATCAGGAAAGTCATTGGAGTTCTGTATATTTTCAGGGATCCATATAATGCATTGCAGTATTCGGACTTAAAGTTGAATCAAATTTGTAATTGGGTAAACCGCTGAAGTTGTGAGAGCCAATTTTTTTATCACACTACATGGGGAATTGTATGATAGTTTAATTCAGAACTAAAAATAAATTACTTCTTTGATTTTGCTAAGACTTTAAAAAAGAAAACACTTTGGGCTGATACTAAGTAGGGAAAATTTCAGCCGGAGTAGTTTGTTTCACAATATGTGGTTGATGCTCACTCATAGACTTTAAGGTCAGAAGGGACCATTATGATTATCTAGTCTGACCCCCTGCACCGTGCAGGCCACAGAATCTCACCCACCCCTCTTAGAATAATCCTCTCACCTATGTCTCAGATATTGAAGCCTTCAAATACTTTGAAGGCCCCAAGATGCAGAGGATCCTCCAGCTGTGATCTGTGCCCCATGCTACAGAGGAAGGCAAAAAACCTCCAGTGTCTCTGCCAATCTACCCTGGAGGAAAATTCCTTCCCAACCCCAAATATGGCGATCAGCTAAACCCTGAGCATGTGGGCAAGACTCACCAGCCAGACACCCAGAAAGTTCTCTATAGTAACTCCATTGACCTATTTCCCACTGATAATGAATGGTCAATTAGTTACCAAGATCATGTACTCAAACCATCCCATTATCATAGAACTGGAAGAGACATCAGAAGGTCATCAAGTCCAGCCCCCTGCTCTAGGCAGGACCAATGCTATCTAAATCAACCCGACCAGGGCTTTGTCAAGCCGGGACTTAAACACCTCTAGGGATGGAGACTCCACTACTTCCCTAGGTAAACCATTCCAGTGCTTCACCACCCTCCTAGTGAAATAGTTTTTCCTAATATCCAACCTGGACCTCTCCCACCATAACTTGAGACCATTCCTCCTTGTTCTGCCATCTGTCACTCCCTAAGAGATGAGCTTCTTTGGAGTCTTGCTAGGTTACCAGGCTGGGTAATCTACACTGTCATCAAGATTTGCAGATTAGCCATAGTGAGATTAGTTGGTTTTGACATTTCAATAGGGGGGAGTTTTCTATAGTCATACGCCCCAACTCCTTATACTGTAGTATATGGATGCTCTACTATTAGTGTGTGTGTAACTTTTTAAAAATCCCTTCATGTGGATAGTGGTATTGAAAGCATGTCTAGCAGGTACTTTTGTTAATGGTGCACTGAGGCCTGGTCTGTGCTTAAAAGTTAGCTGTGTTGCTCAGGGTTGTATAAAATGTTATGCCATACAGGCAGTCCCCGACTTACGCGGATCCGACTTACGTTGGATCCGCACTTACGAACAGGGCTTTCTCGCCCCGGAGGTCGAGATAGCGGATGGCTACCTGCGAGCTCCGGGGCGAGAGAGCCCTGTTCGTAAGCTGCTCCGGTGCCCCTGGTCTGCTGGAGACCAGCAAAGCCTCAGAAGCGCGGGAACCACTGCACAGGCTCTGCTCCCCGTGTCCCTGGTCTCCCTCCTAGTAAAATAGTTTTTCCTAATATCCAATCTGGACCTCTCCCACCACAACTTGAGACCATTGCTCCTTGTTCTGCCATCTGTCACTACTGAGAACAGCCTCTCTCCATCCTCTTTGGAACCTCCCTTCAGGAAGTTGAAGGCTGCTATCAAGTCCCCCCTCACTCTTCGCTTCTGCAGACTAAACAGACCCAAGTCCCTCAGCCTCTCCTCGTAGGTCATATGCTCCAGACCCCTAATCATTTTGGTTGCCCTCCGCTGGACCCTCTCCAATGCGTCCGCATCCTTTTTGTAGTGGGGGGCCCAGAACTGGACACAGTACTCCAGATGTGGCCTCACCAAAGCCGAATAAAGGGGAATAATGACATCTCTGGATCTGCTGGCAATGCTCCTCTTAATGCATCCTAATATGCCATTAGCCTTCTTGGCTACAAGGGCACACTGTTGACTCATATCTAGCTTCTCATCCACTGTAACCCCCAGGTCCTTTTCTGCAGAACTACTACTTAACTGGTTGGTCCCCAGCCTGTAACTATGCTTGGGATTCTTCCGTCCCAAGTGCAGGACTCTACACTTGTCTTTGTTGAATCTCATGAGATTTCTAGTGGCCCAATCCTCCAATTTGTCTAAGTCACTCTGGACCCTATCTCTGCCCTTAAGCGTATCTACCTCTCCCCCTAGCTTAGTGTCATCTGCAAACTTGCTGAGGGTGCAATCTATCCCCTCATCCAGGTCATTAATAAAGATATTGAACAAAACCGGTCCTAGAACCGAACCTTGGGGCACTCCACTAGAAACCGACCTCCATCCTGACATCGAACCGTTGATCACTACCCGCTGGGCCCGGCCTTCTAGCCATCTTTCTATCCATCTTACCGTCCATTTATCCAATCCGCATTCCCTTAACTTGCTGGCAAGAATATTGTGGGAGACCGTATCAAAAGCCTTGCTAAAGTCAAGGTATATAACATCCACTGACTTTCCCATGTCCACTGAGCCAGTTACCTCATCATAGAAGCTAATCAGATTGGTCAAGCACGACTTGCCCTTTGTGAATCCATGCTGACTATTCCTGATCACTTTCCTCTCATTCAAGTGTCTCAAAATGGACTCCTTTATGATCCCTTCCATGATTTTTCCAGGAACCGAGGTAAGACTGACCGGCCTATAGTTCCCTGGATCGTCCTTCTTCCCTTTTTTGAAGATGGGCACTACATTTGCCTTTTTCCAATCATCCGGGATTTCGCCCGATCTCCACGACTTTTCAAAGATAATGGCCAAAGGCTCCTCAATGACATTTGCCAACTCCTTCAGTACCCTTGGGTGCATTAAGTCTGGACCCATGGATTTGTGTACGTTTAGTTTTTCTAAATAGTTCCTAACCTGTTCTTTACCCACCAAGGGCTGTCCATCTTCTTCCCATCTTGCGTCGCTTAGCACAGAAGTCCAGGAGCCGACCTTGTCCGTGAATACAGAGGCAAAGAAAGCATTGAGTACTTCAGCTTTCCCCACATCCTCTGTCACTAGGTTACCTCCTTCATCCATTAGGGACTGCACACCCTCTCTGATCACCTTCTTTTTGTTGACATGCCTGTAGAAACCTTTCTTGTTATCCTTCACATCCTTAGCCAGTCGCAACTCCATTTGCGCTTTCGCCTTCCTGATAACCCCCCGGCATTCTCGAACTATACATTTAAGCTCCTCCCTAGTCATTTGTCCAAGTTTCCACTTTCTGTAAGCTTCCTTTTTGTGCTTAAGTACACCAAGGATTTCCCCTGTAAGCCAATCCGGTCTCCTACCAGGTTTGCCTCTCTTGCTACGCGTCAAGTTGGTTTCTTTCTGTGCCTTCAATAAGGCTTCTTTAAAATACTGCCAGCTGTCTTGGACTCCTTTCCCCTTCATGTTAGCATCCCATGGGATTCTGCCCATCAGATCTCTGAGGGAGTCAAAATCTCCTGTTCTGAAGTCCAAGGTGTGTATTTTAGTACTCTATTTTCTTCCTTTGGTCACGATCCTGAAATATACCGTCTCATTATCACTGCTTCCGAGGTTGTCACCCACCTCTACTTCCCCTATTAGTTCCTCCCTGTTTGTGAGCAGAAGGTCAAGCTGTGCATGGCCTCTGGTCGGATCCTTCAGGACTTGTACCAAGAAGTTATCCCCAGCATTCGCCAAAAATGTTCTTGGATTGCCTGTGTAGTGCCATATTGCTTTCCCAACAGATGTCAGGGTGATTAAAGTCCCCCATGAGAACCAGGGCCTGCGATCTGGAAGCTTCGCTCATTTGTTCGAAGAAAGCCTCATCTACCTCATCCACCTGGTTCGGTGGCCTGTAGCAGACACCAACCACAACATCACTGCTGTTTGCTCCTTTAAACCTGACCCATAGACTTTCAACAAGTTTTTCTCCCTCTTTATACTGGAGTTCAGAGCAATCATAGTGCTCTCTTACATATAGTGCAACTCCTCCTCCTTTTCTCCCCTGCCTATTCTTCCTGAACAATCTATACCCTTCCATGACAGCGCTCCAGTCATGCGAGTCATCCCACCAAGTCTCTGTTATCCCAATTAAATCATATTTCTTGGCCTGGGCCAGGGCCTCCAGCT